AACACCAAAAATTATAAGAAAGAAAAGAGAAAACTAGAGAAGGAAAAACCAGTTGGAAACAGAATCTAAATGCTTTGCTGCTACGATTTTGAAATTAGAAGACAAAATAAAAGAGAATGCACTATACTTCAACTTGTTTTTATACCATCAAAATAGGTTGTGCATCTGCCAAAAGAAAATTACTTGGTACTATAGGCATTTTCACTTTAGATACAGATACTGGTGTTCGTATTGTCAGTTTAGACTACTGGCGGCTTTTAAAAGGAAATGAAGCTGTTTTTTCCTTATTCTGGTGCATATTATAGATTGCATTGGTATTATAGATCCAGAAGGTAGTTCTATTAAACCAATCGGCTTCGTCGAAGCTGATATTACGTTGGCGGGACAAACTTTTAAACACTCGCTTGTTGTGTTCTAACTCGCAAATTCAATCAAAGAGTCGTGTTAGGAACCAATTTCATGTTCGAAATAGGCTTAGTTTTAGATGTACTAGATGGAAAAGGCTGGTTGAGAGATAAACCGTTATCTAATAAACTAACTTTACTTATATATTAATAGTTTTTTATATTATTTTATTCAATAATTCATTATCAAATATAAATAAATTCACATCTGATATTATTAATAATATAACATCCATTGAACAAAATTCTAAAGTTATTAACGTCAAGATAATAACGTCAAGAATGCACCTTTATCTATTATCATACATCAAATAGTATCGATTATATGTAATAATGTAATTTTAATCTGTAGTGTAATGTTAGGTCATGAAATATGGTTTGTACCATAATCATGCAGCAGCGCAAAGCGTAGCTCCCTAAATGCGACCAAAATGTAAGCTAATTAGTATAAAAGCATTTGGAACAAGTAAATAACTAAACGAGATATACGAATACACAAACGCACAAGATAAGGAGTATAATGTTATCCTGTGGTTATTGTACTGGTTTTCTAACAATATCTATGACACAGATTGTCTTGTACATCGATTACCGAAAATTAAATGATATAACTATCAAAGACGTCTTTCCTCTTCCTAAAATCGACGAGATTTTCGACCAATTAGCAGATGCTGTTTATTATACTAAGGAATAATACCGCCTGGAAAGTTCACAAAATCAGCGAAAACGAACTCGTACTGATTTTATTTGAACAGATAATAATGATATTACTAGTGAAATACATGAATTAATAATATCAAAAGAAGCTCAACGTTTAAAATTTAAAAGCCGATAGATATGGTCTAAAAATTTAAAACAACGACGAATTGCCTTTTGGAATTATTTTAATAATCAACAAAAATATCAGTTATATACACGATGGGTGAATTCAGAACCACCCATTGTACCAAATACATTTAAAATATGTCTAAATCCACAAGAAACAGATATCGAACATTCTCTACGTAAAACACATGCTAATCGAACGTTTCAATTCCACATTGATCTTCATGAAGCAAAGGCAACTCGCTTCCGACAGCAGCAACAGCAAATTGATGCACAGCATGAACAATTTCTTTCAACAGTTGCAACAGGTGCTGTTTTTATCCAACTTCTAAACTTATGGAATAAAGATTGTCTTCGAAATGAACAAACATCACTTAAAATATGGGAAAAACATGAACATCATTACCGGAAATATGAAGAAGCTATTGATAATCGACAAGATCCATGGATTATAATTAAATCAGATAATCGTCCAAAATTTCCA